AAAAAAAAAAAAAAAAACACGATTACCGTCAATACGACAGGCCAAAGCCTAAGCATGATCAGAAATTTGGCTCCACGGGTCCCAAAGTACCCGGCCAACATCGATACATTATTTATCACAGAAAAATTGACTATACATGTGACTTCAGAACAGTTCTATTCAGAACATGTCCTAAAGTCAGGGGCCTACTGTTAATACCCAATTTTGGCCTCGCCTATTAAAATATTACACGTGGATATGTATTATATTAATTGTTTTATTTTATGGCCCACAAATAACACCTCTTGTAATAATAACGGGCCCACCAAAAAATATATATATATACCCCTATGATGGACGTCATAGAGATAAGTCTGAGGGGCTATCATTATTTTTTTCTCTCTAATCCTACAAACAGAGGCGGTGCCTTCATGGCTTCAATTCTTCTTTTTGTTCTTCATTTTATTCATTCAATCACAAAAATACTCAACAGAAATTCATTACAAATACAATTTTCCGAACCCCCCATGTTGATACAAAATCGCATATCAACAGTTTATCATGAAACTTTTGTCACAAAATATCTATATTGTCACTAAAAGTTAACCTTTATATGACGAACATATATGGTTTTGTCATCTTAAAATTCACATATAATGACAAAAAAGATTTGTGTTATAGTTACAAAAAATTATTTGTCACCAATGAAATATTTATAATGACGAACGAAAATGTCACTTAAAATTATGTTTTAATGATGAGATATTCTTTGTCACCAAATAAATACATTAAAGATGATGATATATTTAGTCATAGAAAGATTGTATTATATGACATTGTTTTTATCGTCACCAAATGTATATAAAAATGTGACAATATATTTTATCATGAAAAATTAAAGTATATGACGCAAAAGACAATTGTCACTAAATATGTAGGTATAATGACTAAATTAGTCAAAACCAAAGAAGTTTAGTGTGACAAAATATTAGTCATAAATAGGCCATTTTATGCCACAATATTTTACCACATGTTGTGTCACGAAAGATTGTTTTCAGTAACCAATTGAAAATTATCACAAAAATTCATAATAATATTACAATTAACCAGTAAATTAGATAATGACATAATATATTCTTTGAAATAAATGAGTATATATAGAAGGAATTATATGAAATATTCATAATTGAAAACGAAAACAACAGTACTTGGAACATTAAGTGAAAAACACTAACTAAACACTTGAAACACAAATCTCCAAATCCATAGGCTTATTTTCTAGTTTTGCTGAAAAGTATTGGTAAATCCGTCAGCATCCATTCTAAACAGAGCAATCACCTATAAATATAAAACATTTGAATCAACACATATATTTGCATTTATCAAAACATACTTTCACAAAAATAAAAAAATGAGACCCATTGTTTACATCCAATTTTTTACCTCAAGTACTTCCTTTGGAAGCCATGAATGCCTTAAGCTTTTCAATATCTGCACCTTGTTGGCCCAATAAATTCTTCAAGCCACTAACTTCTTTCTTGAGCTCACTCACTTGTGATTCTGATGCTTTTAACTTTTCTCGAGTTTCCTGAAGCTCTTTTTCATTTTGAAGGTTTTGGTTGGCTGGAGCAAAAATGTTTTTATTCAATTGACTTGTTTGATAACCAAGTCCCTTCAGGTAAATAGATCTTGGACCAAGCACCTCGTGAACTATTTCTTGATTCGTCTTCTCAACTCCTTCCGTTATATATTTTTCTCGCCTCGATACCATCAACTCATGATGGATTACATATATATATCATGCCTCTCTAAAAAATAACAATACCAATACCAATACCAATATGAAAGTGTGAATTACCCAATTTTCTTTTGCCTCGTTATTTGACCAACCATGTTTGTCAATGGAATGGAATGTGTGAGTTTGTAGAACTCAATTATGTCACCAGCATCTCCATTAACTCTCCATTAGCATCTCCATTAGCATTCTTCTGAGCCTAGTCAAGAATAAAAAAAAAAAAAAAAAAAATGTACATGATATGAACCTATTAAAATTATGATTATTTCTCCATGGCGCAATATGTAAATATTTTAAAACATAACAGCATGTTTGGAACTTACAATTTCATGCTGGAGTGTAGAAAAATGAGTTCTGCCAGATATATGTGGGGTCCTTAACATTTGACGATTCATAGAGTTAATTGAACTTTGGTGCTGAAAACAAAAAATTGCAACATAAGAAATATTCCCAAAATATATCAATAAGAGTACCAATCTAAAGAGATATTACCTTGAACTTAGCTGAAGCAAAATAATCACAGAGTTCGTCCCAATTTTCTTTACTAACACAAAATGGTGGCTTATTATTCTTAGCCTCTTGTAGGGTTGCATACTTCTTGTAATGCTTATGTAACCTGTAACGAACTTGTCGAGAACTAGATTTCATCCTATCAACCAAGCAGTGCCTCGCACCCGATGCATCCAAGTTGACATCCATATGAATCTGAACATCACATTTGACATATTTTTACATATACAAAAAAAAAGAAAACATATCATTTTTATTCTTATTTTATAGCTACCTTTATAAGATCAATGCATGGTTCCAAAAGTTTTTCTTCATCCATTTCTTTCCATTTTCTTGGCACTCGAAGGACATCTCGAGCTACTACACCAATTTGACTTGAGAGCTTTGCAGATTGCTCTCGATTTTTGGGCCGTCCTGTCAGTGGATCCACATCTATCTTCAATTTCTTTCCAGATGCATCAAATGCTTTCATAAGTCCCTTACCCCATTGTTTGACCACGTTTTCTCTTAGGGACGGAAGCTTTACCTGGTAACAAAGACATTACATTTCATTAATAGAGGACACATATACTATTATCAAAGACCATTGCATTTCATTAATAGGGACACATTTACTAATCTGTAAGATAAAATTATTGCAATAAGTTAATACTGCAGATTAAAGAATGGCTTCAATTGATTAAGTATCTAAACTTTAGCTAAATTATTGCAATAAGTTACGAATAACCATGAGATATAAATCTTCTCAAATCTAATTGGGCAGACTAAGTACATCTCTTTCCTTTTTCTTTATCCCTTCTCCCTGTGTTCCATCGCGATTTCGGTCAGTAAGACATCAAAGATGTCTGGAGTTTCCAACAACTATTCAACTATAACTAGAGCTACAACAACAAAGTTCAACATAACGAAAATAACACAAACAACAAATATTCACTGAAAGCAACAACTATTCCAATAGTTATATTATCCCAAGTAAAAACATATTATACCTCCAACTATCCGAACAGTTATCCTAAGTAAAAAACATATAAAAAACATATTGTACCTATGATTGATGTATCATGAAGGTTACCAGAGCCTTCAGCTGCATTCAAATTCTGATTTTGGTTGGAAGTTTCAAGGGTTTGCGGAATGCCACTCTCATTAGTGTGATTTGTTGTAGTATTATCACCTTCTCCAGAAGAACCATGATTAACTTCAGTAGTTCGACTTGTTCCAGTCACTTCAACTCCAGCAGATGGCACATTTGATGACACATTTGATTGATTTAGATGTTCTCGGACTCCAATACGAGCTGACGCAGCATTTGAGCTATCCTTGGCAGCTTGGTTAAGCATGCTTTGTAGAGAAGAGTTTGTAATAATTCTAGGTTTACGAACTCCTGGCGCCATTCGTAGATATCTACATAAGATAACAGAAATTTTATCACTGCAAAAACAATTTTGAAGAGCTAAGAAATACATAATCGTCTTAATAAAAATGCATACTTGTTGAAAAAAAAGAACACGTGTAGTTAAATTACGCATTCAAATAGTGATTATACAAGTTATGACTCAATATATCCATATCTATATCTAATAAGAAGCAGTAAAACACTGTAGCTTTTTATTACTTTTAATTCCTCAACGTACCTCTCTTTTTGACACGTAATAATTTTGAAAGTGTTTTACCCTTTTTGCCCTCAATTTACCCTGCTAATATTTTATAATTATATATAATTCCTGAACACCAAGATCTCCAAAAACAAATATTATGCTTCAATTGGTAGTAAGATGGTACAGGATAAGTAGAATTCTCTATGTCTATGCAAGTCAAAATTCATTCTTCTCATTACGGTAGCGTAAGCGCATTCAAGAGCAAGAGCACAATTAGCGGCTATACTTCCTGTTCATTCCCTCTGCTTCAAGGAATTGATTAAACTACAACCAGGTTATGATAATGACATCAACTTAAACATTACAAATGTAATAAGCATTAACATTAAAAAAAAAAAAACCTATTAGCTTTCAGACACACTTGAACATAAACAATTTTAGTTAAATGATAAATCTAATCTTAGTTGGTCGTATCGATAATTAATACCAACAATGCAAGTAGCAATATAATAAAAGTTACACATGCCTATGTACAGTTTAATATATAACACATGTAGAATTAATAAATAAAAAAATTACACCTTCAGTTGACTTCTACTCATGAAAGATGAAGAAAAAATCTGTAAAACACAAATTTAGGTTGAAAAGATGAAGAAACTTCATCACCAGGAAAAGATAGAATCAGAATATGAAAAAAAGAAAATATAGAATCAGAATATGAAAAAAAAATATAGAATCAGAATATGAAATAGAATATGAATTACAAATTAGACACCTTCAGCTATTATGAATTATACAAAGACAAACTCATAATATGAAAAAAATATGAAACATAATTTGAAACGAAAATATTACACCTTCAGCTACAACTATTATGCTTATACGCTATTATGCTTATACAAAGACAGAATCTGAATAAAGGTGAGCCAATATAAAATCTGTAAAAAAACACAAATTTTATACATAATCGATTAAGAAACTTCACCAGGAAAAAATTGTAGGGATGGGTGTGTTTTGCAACTATTATTTTTGATGTAGTGCTAAGTAAAACCTAATTGTGCATATATATATTTGCTGAGATAAAAAAGGGAGAGATTGACGGAGGTACTAAATCATTATACTCTTTGTTTCTCTACCCTAATTAGATAAAAAAAAAATCCTAATTAAGCACGAATTTTGAGCGCCAAAAAAATGTAATCCCGCTAATTGTTTTGCTAGATAAAAATTATAATTTTCTTTTTAATTTTTCAATTTCTAATGTATACAACTGTTACCTGTGGTGCCCGATCACCATGGACGTGATGAGGTCTCTAGCGAGCCTCTGCACCACCTTGACCGACTACTAGACCTCCATCGAGAAGTGATTGTCCCTCGACCACAACAACTTCTCCGCCACGCTACAGATTCGATCGTCCGCTCACACCACCCACAACCTCACCACCGACTAGTCGACCTCTAGATAACGCACCATCTCCGCCTTTGTCCTCGCCCTCGCCGACGATTTCGAGCAGAAATTTGCATACGTCATCAACGGTGCAAGATTGAATCCTTAACCTCGTGAAATTGATTCAGATTTTAGGTTAAGATTGGGAGATGAGACCGACATTAAACCGATTCCCTCGCGAGCGTGGTGCAAGATTGATTCAATTTCAGTTTTTAGGTGAAAAAGGACCGATTTTGAGATTGAGAGATGAAATTGGGAGATGAAACGATTTTTGGGGAAAGATGTGACTTAGTAATTGGGAAAAAGGAAAAAAGAGATTACCTATATGTGAATTTTAGTTTTCACCGCAATTTATTTGTTGATGAGATGAATTTTTTTATTTTGGATTTTTAATGACACTTTAGCAATTTTATTTATGTTATTTATAAAGTTAATAAGGCATATGATATATTATTTCATATAATAAATGTATACAAAAATTTGTTAATTAAATATTATGTTAACTTAATCATTTAATTACTTAAGCTAAATAATAATAACTTATACATATTTATTA